CACCCTAATGGTCTTAATTTTGCAATTAAACATAGCTGGACTGCAAAATTAAACATAAGACAGTTATTTTTCTTCATTTCTTTATAACATCTGTACCTGTCCATCCTGAATTGTAGATGCTCTAAGAAGAACCAGCATACATCTTTATACTTGAACCAATACTAGTGCTGGTTTTCCTTGAAACCTACAGATAATTTTTGCTACAGAAGTAGCTATATCATCTTAACTAGTTGTTCCTTTTCGGAAGAAAATACCATTTTCTTTTTGTTTATGACATCAGAAACATTAGGAAGTAAGATGAGTAGCCTGCCACCTTTCTGGCTTTGACCAGCGGTTCATCTTCCCTCCTATTTACATTTCTGTTGCTTGTCGAGAAGTAAGAGACAAAAACTTGAAAATTTTGTCGTTGGAGCTCCTATCATCCTTGCCGAGAACAAAATTGTGTGTCAAACATTGTTAAGCTGTGATGTCTTGCATGTGTTGCAAATTCAGCCAGTATGATGAAAAGTGAACTTTCAGTATGACCAACAAAGCAGATGAAAGATCAGCATTCCAGAAAATCCCAGTAACCAGACTTCTCTTGTGAGGATGCCTACTGCTAAAGCTGCAAGAACACACAAGAAGTAGATACAATCAACAGAACTGACTGCAAAAAGATGCTAAAAACAATTTTAACAAACAAAACACATTTTATGTACAAAAAAGGATGTGTAGAACTGGCATTCTAGCATGAAAGCACATTTGAAAAACATAGATAGAACCTGGATTTGTACTGAAAGAACATACAGGATGCTACATTATGGATTCTACCAATGCCTGATTTCTTAATGAACTCTAATTCAAGAAATTAGATCATCATCTGCCAAATTATTGCCCACTCTGCTATCTTTGATATAACATGCATCAATTGGCTATGGACGGACATGCAAACACATTTTGAAATTAGAAGAGAAGCATTATCCAAAAATTCCACATGCTTAATGACCAACTGTTTCACATTAGAACCTAAAATAATTGTGAAAAATAGATCTCTGAAATCTGAATACAGTTTAATGTGTATATGACCATAATTAGATCCACATCTATCTGGCTTTCATGTACAGATATATAAAAAAGAAACAAACAACAAGTTAAAAACAAATTATCAGTTGAAGCTTACATGAGAAAGATTGTGCCAATGGAGATGGGCCAAGTGGTAGAGAAACTGGGCCTTTTGAAGTCCGTGCGTCCTTGCCTGGATGGGACCCACAAGTTACTGCAGGTAAAGGAGGTAGATCTGGAGGCAATGCTAATTGGGGGCCCATTGTAGGTGATATTCGCGATGACCTAGGATGCAGTGTGGGACGACTATATCGACAAGGGGGGTCAGCATTTGCACTAGAAGGTGCTACAGAGTTCTGAATGGGAGGCATAGAATGGTGAGGGCTGTTTTTAGGGTTTGGTGCATAATGGCGAGTATGACTTGATGGTGAAGCATGTGTATTGTGATGACCATGAGGTGAGGGTGCAGGAGAAGAGGCAGGAGAGGGTGAAATTAATGGACTAGGAGAAGGAGCTGGTGAAGGAGTAGGAGCATTGCCATGAAGTGTATCCTTTCGGTATGATGATAAAATAATGCTATTAACTTTACCAAAGACCGAGTTATCAAGACCGAGATTCCCTGCAGGAGAGTTGGTGATCATTCGAGCTAACAGTTTCAATCTCTGTGGCAGAATGCTCCCCATATCTGACAAGATTGAAGCCTGAACTATGACTGGTGGTGAAACTGTGGAGCCATTTTTGTTTGTTATTTGCAGAAATATATTCTGCAATGAGCATTAAATACATGAGCACCAAATCAGATATAAAGATAACAACACAACACAACACAAGCAGGTTCCTTTGAAACCCTAACTCTGTGCACACATGCATGTGTGTTTTGTGTGTTCTGGGATGATCTTGTGTAGATCATCCACTGAGAGTTACCATAACAAACTCTTTTTGTACTTTTTCTTCCATCACATAACGAAAATTCAAAACCTTAATTCTCCATTTTTCCTAAAATAGCCATACTAGGGCATTTTCCCCTCCTTTATCATGTAATTAATTACTCCCACTGACTTTGCACATTTGAAAAATTCCTAAATTTCAACTGGGTGTTTGTTAAGGCAAGCACCGACATTTATTCCCACTTTAAAACACTAAAGAGGACTGGATCTCAAATGTTGACGACATTTTGTGTGGAGTGTGCACAGACTGGATCTAGCCAAAAATTAACTATTGATTCCTTAAGTAGATTATCATACTAAAAGCTGCTTGGAGAGGCATCTTACCTCATATGGTGTCAGACGTAACCCATACTTCAGCTGATTCTTTAACGCAAGAAACTTTTCCTCTATTTCAGATATGGAATTATTGAGAGTAAAATTAAACATAATCTGAGGAATCTGCCAAATGGAAGCAGACTGCACAGGTATAACAGTAATTCCTCCAGGAAACTTCAAAATCTCAAACTTATATGGCTGTCCAGAAATTGCTGTTGTCAAAGTCAGATTGGATTGCTGAAGAAACAGCTCAATCAAGGATGACCTCAACACACTTAAGGAGACTGAGTTTATTGGAACATCTATTGGATCAGAAAGAACACCAAACACCACATCAGTCCAGTTAGATGCACTTGATTGGCGCATCGATAGGATAGTGACCTGTTGAGAATGAAGACTTTTAGGTTAATTTTCGGCTAATTTTAAAAGCTAATCTTGTCCAAAAAAAAAAAAAGGTTGAAGTTTAATTTCAAACCTTAGTATTTGGAAGACCTATTTCTTCATAGATATCATATTCTATCCTCTCAATTTGAGGAACAAGCTCCGAAACTGGCATTTGCAGTCTAAAGTATGACTGAACTGTTGCTGCAAAGAAGGAATGAAAGCATAAGCACCCAAGATTAGTGATTCTAGATGGAAAAAATATGCACAAACATATAAAACTCATGCCTATATTTGCAAATGGTGACAAAAGCAACATCTTAAAAAGGCAACTGAGTCTAGAATCCTACATGCACTCATTCATCACAGATGCATTCATTGAAGAACATGCTGTAAAAAGTGACGAATCCTTTAATGCTTATGCTCGCAGAAAACTGCAAGTAAAATTCCCCAAGTTTTGAGAGCATAAGCATCACTAGTTACAGAACTTTATCACATATTCCCAAGAGCTAAACCAACTTAAAATTTTGCAGAAATATCATTCACTCATTTAATAGGAATCCTAATTACAGCACAACAAGGTGAATGGAACACCAGGGAAACACCCAACTTCCTGTAAGCATATCAGAGTCTCCTAATTACACAACGATTAGGCAAAAAAGCCACAACCCATTTGCTTAATCCATAAAAAACCCTAATCAGAAAGGGAATTAAGCCAAATTACACCTAAAACACAGGCTAAAAACCTCAAAAATTAAACCCTAATTCCGTAAATCACTGCAAACTGAGAAAAATCCAAAGAAGAAGAAGAAGAAGCATACCACTCTGCTTGATAGCTTCTTTAGCATCATAACCCAACTTCCAGGTGTGAAGAGGAAAGATCCAGAAGATCCCAGTAAGCAAAATGGACAGACTGAGAATCAAAACAAAAACACATCTGAAACTGAACTCCTTCGAAACCCTTGACAACACCCTTGAACATCTGGCGCAGAAGAATCTAGAAGGGTATGGATTCCCCACCTCAAGACCCCTTCTTCCTTCCAAATTCTGCTCCCCATTTTTCCCCATCGAAAGAGCATCTGAAACCTCTCCTCCTGCTCTGGAAAACCCACCTCCCTCTCTCCAAGAAACAACTGCACAAAGGTTCTCAAAGGAAGATGTAAATTAAGAGACAGGTGTTCATGGTGGCCAACTGGGCGCATATGCCCTTCGCCGTATTAACTACACAATAATATCCTTTATCTCTCTCCTTCCATTTTCTCTCACTATAGCATGTAGCACTTCACTGTTGTCCCCCTTAAAATACGAACCCCCTTTTCCTTTTTCCTGAAATTTAAAACCTCTAGTCCTTTTTTAATTATTTTATAGGCTACCGACCGTTGAGGAGAAGCAAAGTAGGTAAACTGGTGAAGGGCCTAAAGACAAAGAGAATGGAAATTGGGTTTGTCTGATATATACGTGTTTAGTGTATTAATTATATTTTTTTATATTTAATTTTTACAAAAAAAATTATAAAAGTAGAGTTTATTTTTATTATTAATATTAGAGATTAATATTTATTAATTGAATTTGTAAAAAAATTAAGTGAAAAAATATTTTAAAATTTCGTTATTTTAATAAAGCAATACGAGAAAACATTAAAGTATTTCCATCTTTATTTTAAAAATAGTTAAGATATTTTATTTTTTTTAATTAAACTTTATTAAAAGAAAGTATTTTTAAGAAAATTTTTTACTTAATTTTTTATAATATAAGTAGATATCCACTTTT